ACGATATAAGCCCGACGACACAACACTTATTCGGTCTGTGGTCAAATGTGATCAAATTAAGCACTTGAAGTGTAATTAGAGCAGTCAAATCATTAATTGAAAGGTATTTATGGTTAAATTGAGCATTTTGATGATAAAAGTTTAGTTGTCTGAGATCTCTCAATTTTATGTTCATCATCATAATTAAGACTTCATTTAAGAAGACGGCGAAGCTTCCTTCCCTTGCAGTGAACATCAACACGTGAAATGCTTTCATTTGGTGAAGCAATGTCTCTCAAAAGTCTCCCAAAGTTGTTTCACTAGAACGACAATTTTTCGTCTTTTTTATGGCAATTGGCATTCAAACAAATCCTAAATGATGAAATAATGATTATAGAACTATATATCTCCATTTTTCACATAAAAGAGGGATCAAAGTGCTGGTAGAAAAATCTGAACCACAAAGATAATTAGAATTCAATAATAATATGCAATCATTGGGCACCACCAGCGTTGTTGTATTCCAAAAGTGATTGTAATTGAAGTATTCCAGAAGTGTCACGTGTGGCACAAGGTGCTGAATAAATTAATAAGCGATCAACAAATGGCATTCAATAGGTGTGAGATGTGTTGCATGTTGGAATTGTGGAGATCCATCAGATTCTGTCTGTATTATGTGATTGTATATAATAATGATTAGTTAATGTTATATTCATCTTCTCCAGTAGGAACTTTACATTATAGAGGTACTCTGCATAGTTTTGAGTGGATTGGTTATTATTTTAAACAAACAATCATGTTTAGAACTTTAGATAAGTATTTACTTTTGACCAAATAAGGTATTGATTGACTGAGAAAAACAATTAGGGGGAGATTTTGCTCTGCATAGACTGATGCAATGTGTAGTGCTTACTAAGAATGCTTATAAAGTTTTTTTATGGATGGAACTAGCTTGCGTTGTGTTGATCCGATTTTGCTTGTGAGCTCGCCTTAGGCTAGAACCGCCAATCTGAAATTGACTCGAAACCAACACTAAACTTGAAATTAACTCTAGATGGATCCGCCAAACTTGAAATTGATCCATAAACTCAAAATCAATTTGAAGTTGACCCGAAATCGATCCAAATAACTAGTATTCCTTCTGTGAATTGGTTTATACAGGTCAGACTTTTTGGCCTATTCAAATTGGGTCATATCTGAACTCAACCCGTAAACTTGATTTGACACTCCTAGAGGTGTAAACAAGTTGAGTAGAGCTCGAGCCACCCTCAACTTGAGTTTGAGCTTAATTAATTTAATCGAGTTCGAGCTCGAGCTTAAGTCAACAAGTTTAAGTCAGTTCGTGAGTCAGCTTGATTATTTTAAAAGAGAGAAAATGAAATTAATTTAAGCTAGATTTCTAAGAAGATACCAATTAAAATGAACAATTAGGAGATAAATAATAAAAAATCTCCTAATATATAATACTAACTATTTTTTTAAAATATTTTTAATATTTTAAAGATAAAATCTTGATATTTTTATATATTTTCACTATGTTTTATATCAATTTTTTTGTAAACGGGTCGGCTCACTAGCTGGCTTGAGCTTGGCTTGTTAGCTTGTCGAGCTCAATTCACGAGCCACTTATCAAGTTGAGCTCAAGCTGGCTCATGAGTTAGCTTGACTCACTTACACCCCTAAACACTCCTACCTATAAAGTAACACTTTATTTTGATGGTGTTTGCTCTTCTATAAATCTCACTGGTAGCCCGTTCTCAAAACCCTTTACCTAGGTTGCTCATAGTCCTATGTCTCAACTCTTGAACTCTGCCTTAAGGCCAACAAGATGATTTATCCGAGAGTTGCCAGAAAGAGAACAATATCTAGAGGGTATGCTCTCATCTCCTATCATTGAATTGAGGGGTGAACTTACCCGGGCACCCACTCTTTCTTTGTCCTTAGGTTCCTTTGGCTAGGTTCACAACGGGTTGTATGGTAATTTCACGTCACAACCTTTTCAACATGGCTTACACCTCTTGTCGTGTTGACACGGGTGATGTGTCTTCTTTCTAATGACGTGTCTCATGGGTGCACATATTGAAGGGCTTCTTCGGTCATGACTATTCAATGAATGGCATAGTTCGGACTACTCTACTACAATTTGGCTAATGAAGAATTCCTTCGTTTTGTAATATAATTTCTCTAATAACCTACAAGTCCTTTTATTTTTCGTGCATCAATGCCTCCCAATCATAACTTCAGTTCTCATTGAAACAATGGCTCTTGGCTGGATTTTAAGAGTTTTTCTTTACGATTAAACTTACCAAAATTACATTTAAAATAATATGTAAGCCTAAATTATAATAGTTGTGATGTGATATCATATATATATATATATATATATATATATATATATTTAATCTTTTGAATATATATATTTAAGAAATATAAATATTTAAGAATTGTGTGGTATGTTTATAAATTCCTTCCCAACTATTTTGAAACTCCATTAAGGCTGCTCAAACCTAAACGATGGTGATCTGATGAACTTGAAGATGGGAATTGTTAAAGGAAGTTTCACATGCAAGTATGTATTCTTAAAGTTTTGAGGTGTGAGATACGTAAATAATAAGATTTATGTGTTGCATATGCAAAAAGCCCTATTTAAAATCATTTTTTTATTAAGCATTATAATTTTTATTTTTAAAGCTGTACTTTCAGATTTTTATTTTCTAGTTAAAAAAAGGCATTTATATAAATAACACGTTATTCATGAATTTTTATAAAGCATTTTTAACATTTATAATATTTAAATTCATAATTTTGCAGAAATAAATTGCGCCAAAAAGTTAAAACGTGCTATTTCGCCTCGAAAAAAAATATAAATATATATATATATTTCATAAAATTCTATTCCTAACTTCCGTACACCTACTTTCCTGTCTCTCTCTAATCTGTACATCTCCGTCTCTCCCAAGTACGCTTATTCACTACGGCTGCCGTCGCGCCGTCTCCGTCTCCGTCACCGTTGCCGTCTAAATCCACTACCGAAGCAACGGCTCTCATTTGATCCTCGAGGTACCGATGTAGCAGTTCGCCCCTAATCGCATCCCGCATCCCTCCTTCCTCGCACCGACTCACGATTCCGGCGACTTCGCGGCGGCGTTTCCTGCAGCCCTTTGCTCCGGCGGGCGTTCTTCTTAAAAAGAGAGCGGCGATACAGAGTAGAGGAAAGGAGAAGCAGAGGAGAGGTAGGAGAATTGGAGAGAAGCAGAACAGAACCATCGACACACATGCTCGCCGCCGCCGCCATTTTCCTCCATCGCCGTCTCCGATCATCTCTATTTCAGTTTCTCTCTCCGTCTCCGTCTCCGATCAACTCTTTCTTCTCTTCTACGCTTCAACTCTACTGGTTGGCTCAACTCTGAAGTCATTTAAGTAGAGACAATTCAATATTAAAAATAAATTTATTAAATATTATATATTTTCATTAAATCAAAATATTTAATTCTCTGCTGACACCGCTCAGATATTTTAATCCGCTCAGATAATGTCATAAATTTTTATGTTTTTATACATTTAATAATTTGCTATTTATTTTTTTTACTCATACATTATTTTAATATTAAAAAAATTGATGCCTTAGAGTTTATAGAATTAATAAAATAGTCTACAAACTCTTTAAATTGGGGTTGAAAAAATTCTTTATGAAAGACTTAGAACTCAATTTTATAACTGTCAGAAAATATTTTGGTACTTTTTATAAACTTTCGAACTATAATAAACATTATCTATGATAAGCCACCAACAAATTTTACGACCACTGTCGATCATTGTTGACTTCCGTCAATCACCGTCTACCGTCATCGACCAACGCCGACCGTCGTCTGATGTCAACCACCGTTGGCCTCCATCGACCACCGCTCATCGTCGTCGAGTATCGTCAACTTCTGTTGACCTCTGTCATCTATCGTTGATCACCACCAATCATTATCAATCGCAATAATCTAAAAATCTAATAACTCTTTCTTGTCTGTGATATAAGAGATTTCTGTAATCATTAATCAACGCTAAGACGATAATTTGTTACTCTACCATCGCGAATTTTTCTAGCACGCATCAATCTAAATAGTATAGACTATTTCGACACTTTAATTTAACTAATTCTATAAATGCTACGGATTCCATTTTTCGACGTTTCACAAAAAAGAGGGATCACAGTGTTGAGGAAGGTGGAGACCCGATCTACTTCCTATTACGACAGATTCATATTTATAGAGATCATTTGATAAATTGATTCTAATTATCTGGTCTTAATTCATTTCCTAAGCTTCTCGTGCCGCCAGATATTCTTCCCGGTTTGGAACCCCGCGTTTTTCTTTTCTAAGCTCTTCCCGCCTATGTTATTTTGCAAATTAATCCTTGCTTTTGTGGGCTGGAAAACGAGAATTAATTTATGCTTCCCTTTTATGGTATTTGGGGAAGCAACAAGTGGGAAACAAAGAAAAGGGTATCTTGTTTCTTTCTTATGGTGGGTCCTGCGATCCTTTCAAAGCAGAAGATAATTGGCTTTAAATAGCTTCTCCAATTGTAGCTTCTTCACGTTTTTTCTGTGCTTGTGGGTGTGGCTTCTCCTTTAGGTTTACGGTGGAGAAAAAGATTCGTCAGGCTTGCTACTCCTCAAATTCTACTTCTTCGGTTGTATATCTCTCAGGTGGGGAGATAGAGAGAGAAGGAGAGGAGAGAGAGGGTTTTCTTGTAATTGCCGACATGATTGATGGGTGTAATTCCTCAAGTAATAAAATTCTCTGCAGCTCCGTGGATGTAGTCAAATTTGTCAAACCACGTAAATCTCTCTGTCGCTCTGGTATTTTTCTGCGTTGTGTAATTTTCTCGATCCGGTTTTTCGCTTTATTTCCGTCATTTTTTTCACAACAATTAGTATCAGAGACCCGGTTCGGATCTGAGGAAGAACGATGACCGGAGACGAAGTGAATGTTTCAGGGATCGAGAAGTTCGACGACACAGATTTTGGATACTGGAGGATGCAGATAGAAGATTACCTCTATGAGAAGAAACTTCGTCTTCCACTATTGGGAAAGCGACCGGAGAAGATGAAAGAGGCTGATTGGAATTTGTTGGATCGACAGGGTCTGGG